ACCATACAAACGCTACAACCATACAAACGCTACAACGCTACAAACGCTACAGCGCTACAACCATACAAACGCTACAGCGCTACGAACGCTACAGCGCTACAACGCTACAAACGCTACAACGCTACAAACGCTACAACCATACAAACGCTACAACCATACAAACGCTACAGCCATACAAACGCTACAGACATACAAACGCTACAGCCATACAAACGCTACAGCCATACAAACGCTACAGCCATACAAACGCTACTACCATACAAACGCTACAGGCATACAAACGCTACAACCATACAAACGCTACAACGCTACAAACGCTTTTGTTGCTGTTCTGTTGCTTTTAACAGGAACTATTTTTATGAAATTTCATATGCAAAGAATGGATAATTGACTAAAATCATTGTGCCCTTTCTCCAGGGTCGATCTAAACTGGGTTAATATGAGAAACATATTTAAAAAAATACTAGTTGTAATTACTGCTGACCTCAGCTTAGGAAAAATACATTATGACCTTATTTTGCCTATCCCTGATATATTTACAATGTATCAAAGTATGTTAAAGAAATATTTTAGAACCATCCATTCAAAAAACGGGATGACTAGGTTCAATAATTAATTCTATATATTAAAAGTTTAAGTAAAAGTGAATCAAAATTAAAAAAGAATCACAAACTTTAGATTACGATTTTCCTTCTTMTCGTGTACTACAACACTGTAGAAAATTTCCAGCTATTTGCTTTAAAACAAAGTTACAGTAAAAGTCAGTGGATATTTTTTCGTAGATTGAACTTCGCTAACTGAAATTATTATTGCCCTGTTGAGGCTCTCACTTTAGGTAGCAAAGGAACTTTGGCTTTCTTATGACAGTGTGCAGTATACTTGTTTCGGTGAAATACCATTCGATGGCAATAAAAAAGAAATCTTGCATTCAAGATTTGCTTGTATCTGGCTGACCAAACGAATGTTTGCTCAGCCACGATGGTATTTAGATCAGGATTCAGTGCTTTCAAAGGTTCGGAGGAGTACTCTACATGGCACTTTGGGTTTTTGTGATTTTTTAAGTGCAGCCTATCAATGACCTTCTTGATCTTTAACCATAGTTTGTCGTACGGTCCAGGAAGAGGTAGTGGTTCTCTGGCGGCTCTTAGGTTGCAAAGGTTGCACATATTGTCATACGACAATATAAAATT